TGAAAAATGCAGTATAGTTTAATTAAGGAAAAATTTATTATTTTATTAAATTTAATGCAGCAAAAGGCATTATTAAGTAGAAAATTGAATTAATTTACTATCTACATTCAACTTTTATGTGTAAATGATGTAATTTGTATGAAAAATGAAAAATAAAAATCAGCCCCAAAAGACGGGGTCACTAATTTATTAATAACTTTTAAACTAGAGGTACCATTTTTTTCTTTTATGGCTCATTCGAAAGATTTTGTATAGGTTGTTCGATTAACTTAGGAGCAGTACTGCGATGAAGATAGAGATGTAATTTTCAAATATTATTTAATTAAAACTTTGTTACTAGACCAAAAATTATGAACTAAAAAGCTTATAACAATAAAAAATATGTTTGTTTTTCTAAATATAATCGCTTTTTAAATAATATAGAAAAAATTTTCTTCAAAATAAGGAAAATAAAATTTTGTAAAAATAGGTTACTTTACAAAATTAATTATATCTTTAAAAGCAGAGGTACCATTTTTCTGCAAATTAACTTAATCGAAAGAGAACACTTCAAACTTTCATTTAATGTCTTCATATTTATAGATTGGTCGATTAACTTAAAAGTTATTGAGTGTCAAAGTTCAGAAATTAATTTTCCTTTAAAAACGACATTTTTCTTATAAAAAGCATATCCCAGAAGTCAGAAAACAGTTTATATATAAATAACTTTCAATACAATACTCTAATAAGCACAATTATTTGAAAAAAATCGAAATTAATTTAAATTTATTAATTATTCAAAAAATCTGTACAAAGTTGGTTAATAGATGGCATACCATCTTAAATTAAATTCGCTGAAAAATTAAAATGGCACTGAAAAACATAATGTACAGTTGCAGAGTTATTGGTAAGTCCATGGTACTGCAAAAGAAAAGCTAACGTCGAATTTTTATTAAACTTGCTGCATCAAAGATATTATCAAAATAAGAAACTAGAATTTTTTCTAAAACGATTGATATACAATATTATATATCTTATTCGATTAACAAATTATATATAATTAAATTAAATGTGAACTAACTTGGGCATGCACAACAGTTGAAATTGCGTAGATGATACATGTGGGATATTAAATATCAAAATATAGTTAGCGTCGAATTTTTATTAAGATTACTGCATCTAAGATATTATTTGAACAAAAAACTAGAATTTTTCTAAGCCAATTAATGTCTAATATTATATAAGGTATGCGACAAAAAGATAAGGTCAGTTTGTTTTTTCTTTGTGGAACTCAATTTGAGTGATTAATCCTTGGATCTTGTGGATTTTATTGTTCGATAGAGAGAATGCAACAAATAAATTCTAATATAATGAGTAAACAAAGTCCCGTTAGTTTTAAATATATCAAAAAAGAAAAAAAGCTAAATATTGCTGCGACAAAATGATAAGGTCAGTCGCAATTTTTGCATTGTTTGGTCAAGTGAGTGTTCCGTTTGTATTAAAATTTGATTTATTTTAATAATTAAATTATTAAACAGTTTTTGAAGAGAAAATGGGTCGTGGTAAGAGTCTCACTACTTACGAGAAAGGGTTTATTGGCGGAAAGGTTATTGAAGGAGTTGGAATGAGACAAATCGCCAAAGACCTTGGAAGATCACTGTGCGTTGTACAAAATTATTTGAAGGATCGAGAAAATTATGGAAAAAAAAGAGTCCTGGTCGAAAAAAAGTACTTTCCGCGACCACAGTGCGCTCCATTGGACGAATTGCCTCAAATTCTACTATAAGTGCAGCAAAAATTAAGGCAGAGCTTAAGCTTACTGCATCCAAGAGGACAGTCTCAGAGCCATCAACGGAAATGAATATTTGAAGCGAGCCAAAATGAAAAAAGTTCCTTGCCTCAATGCTAACCACAAAGCGAAGAGGCTTGAATTCGCTAAATTAAACATGTCAACCAATTGGCATCATGTAATTTTATAATAAATAAAACGAAAATAATTTGTAGGTTTTAATGACTGTTTTTTTTCTTTTAGATGATTTTTTCGGACGAGAAAAAATTCAATCTTGATGGCCCAGATGATTTGAATTATTATTAGCGGGATTTAAGAAAGGAGCCTCAATATTTTTCAAAAAGAAATTTTGGTGGTGGTTCGTTGATGGTGTGGGGAGCATTCAGCTCTATTGGAACATTGCCTCTCGCATTTCCGTCAACACGCATGAACAGTGCTGAATACCAGAAAGTACTCTCCACATGTTTGCTGCCTTTTCTTGCTGAAAATCGAGAATCGCCGCTTGTTTTTCAGCAAGATAATGCAGCGATCCATGTGAGTCGGTCAACAAAGGAGTGGTTTGTGGGCAATTCAGTGGAAGTCTTGGACTGGCCCGCGCGCTCACCTGACCTGAATCCCATGCAGAACATGTGGGGAATTCTTGTACGTGAAGTTTATGCCGATAACAGGCAATTCAGCACTGTTGCTGAGCTGAAAGTGGCCATATTGAATGCCTGGAGAGAAATTCGGCAAACAACGCTCACGAGCCTGGTAGGATCGATGCCGGGGCGTATTTTTAAAACAATCCAAAAAATTGGAAGCCAAATTAATTAAAAAAATTTATTCTGTTCATTAATAAACTTGTTTTCGTGAAAAATTGCAACTGACCTTATCATTTTGTCGCAGCAATATTTAGCTTTTTTTCTTTTTTGATATATTTAAAACTAACGGGACTTTGTTTACTCATTATATTAGAATTTATTTGTTGCATTCTCTCTATCGAACAATAAAATCCACAAGATCCAAGGATTAATCACTCAAATTGAGTTCCACAAAGAAAAAACAAACTGACCTTATCTTTTTGTCGCATACCTTATATAATATTAGACATTAATTGGCTTAGAAAAATTCTAGTTTTTTGTTCAAATAATATCTTAGATGCAGTAATCTTAATAAAAATTCGACGCTAACTATATTTTGATATTTAATATCCCACATGTATCATCTACGCAATTTCAACTGTTGTGCATGCCCAAGTTAGTTCACATTTAATTTAATTATATATAATTTGTTAATCGAATAAGATATATAATATTGTATATCAATCGTTTTAGAAAAAATTCTAGTTTCTTATTTTGATAATATCTTTGATGCAGCAAGTTTAATAAAAATTCGACGTTAGCTTTTCTTTTGCAGTACTATGGACTTACCAATAACTCTGCAACTGTACATTATGTTTTTCAGTGCCATTTTAATTTTTCAGCGAATTTAATTTAAGATGGTATGTTATCTATTAACCAACTTTGTACAGATTTTTTGAATAATTAATAAAATTAAATTAATTTCGATTTTTTTCAAATAATTGTGCTTATTAGAGTATTGTATTGAAAGTTATTTATATATAAACTGTTTTCTGACTTTTGGGATATGCTTTTTATAAGAAAAATGTGGTTTTTAAAGGAAAATTAATTTCTGAACTTTGACACTCAATAACTTTTAAGTTAATCGACCAATCTATAAATATGAAGACATTAAATGAAAGTTTGAAGTGTCCTCTTTCGATTAAGCTAATTTGCAGAAAAATGGTACCTCTGCTTTTAAAGATATAATTAATTTTGTAAAGTAACCTATTTTAACAAAATTTTATTTTCCTTATTTTGAAGAAAATTTTTTCTATATTATGTAAAAAGCGATTATATTTAGAAAAACAAACATATTTTTTATTGTTATAAGCTTTTTAGTTCATAATTTTTGGTCAAGTAACAAAGTTTTAATTAAATAATATTTGAAAATGACATCTCTATCTTCATCGCAGTACTGCTCCTAAGTTAATCGAACAACCTATACAAAATTTTGCATTATATGAAAGGTAATTTTATCCTCTTTCGAATGAGCTATAAAAGAAAAAAATGGTACCTCTAGTTTAAAAGTTATTAATAAATTAGTGACCCCATCTTTTGGGGCTGATTTTTATTTTTCATTTTTCATACAAATTACATCATTTACACATAAAAGTTGAATGTAGATAGTAAATTAATTCAATTTTCTACTTAATAATGCCTTTTGCTGCATTAAATTTAATAAAATAATAAATTTTTCCTTAATTAAACTATACTGCATTTTTCATGCGGCGAAAAATGTTCCAATTCCATTTTGGACTTATCGTCGACGCTATCTTCACGCACATTACTATATGATATAGTAAGTACAAAAGCACGGAAGCTCTTTGTATGGTAAATACAATTTACTCAGTAAGATAAGCTTACTAAGTAAGCAGTGGAAATGTACTATCACACGTGCTTTATACTCATTCAGCGGTCTTGCGTGAGACCGCTGAATAAGTACACCTTAATTTAATTTAAATAGAAAACTTTCTTGAAGTTCACCAGTATTTTCGGTGCTATTTAACATTGTGCTTTTTAGGTACTTTCGTTGCTCGACCAACTCCCATGTCGCTTATGTAAGCCAGATTTTTGGTTTATTGTCTTTACAGGCAAGCAATTGACCAATCTCATTGTAAACTTATTTTGCTAGAGATTTCGTTATTTACATGCCGTCATGCAAAACTTAATCGTTTTATTCTATTATTTCTCAAAATATATGATTTCTTCTTTGCAACCCGGCTATAATACTTGTTCTTTTTAAAAATTTTCTGCACAGTATCAGGACATTTTTTTAAATTTTTTGGCAATAGGTGCAGTTAATTTAGAGGCTGTTACTCTTAAAGTTACTTTCACCTGGTGTCTAAAGTTGAGTCTTTCTCTATCTGACAGAATTCAAGGGCGACCAGTGCAAGGTTTAGAAACGTTAGTACTCATTTCTCATAAACTCTTTAGAAAGTCAACATTTCTTAAACTCTTTAGAAAGTCAACTGATAAATAAATATCATTTAATTACACACTTATGCTTGCAAGCGAATTTAAATTACCGGTAAATCTGAATATAGAAAAGTGAACGCAGACTTTTTCTGTTTCAAAAAATTGTTGCTTGTTCATATAATTGTTTTATTTTTTCTTTTAAGAATAACTGCTAATTTTTTATGTTTAAACTTTATTATTGTTTTTTTGGTCATAATACATCAGAAAACAATTTCAGTAAAAACTAATTAAGGTACATACATATGTGAAATTTAAACAAAATTTTGCGGGTGAACGCAGACTTATTCTACTATATTTATGCAAATGTTAAATTTAGTGTCACAAACTTTTGTACAATCTTTTTCCTTTTGTTGTTATTAGGATATAGCATCTAATTTATTTTAACTTAAGCACGAGAATAAACAATACTAGTGAGGACCAACGCTATACAAGAAATAATGTAGAAAAGACATTGTCTTAGTTAATAATTTTTGGCAATTAAATTCAGTTTAAAATATAATAGTCAGTTTCTAATTAAATTAACGTTTGTCTTTTCTTCGAGAAAATAATTATCTACTTCCGCTTTGAAGAAATCCTAAAAGAAGAAAATTTAAATAAAAACATTTTATATACTTTAGATTTATTATCACCAAATTATAGATCACTTTTACAATTAATGAACAACTGGGACATTTTGCAACGATTTCGCCTTGTATTAGTTCATCCTACATATTATATATTTTTGTTATTTAGCACAATGTATGATAACTGAATTTAAATACCTTTGATATTTGAAAACGGTCGCCACATGGACATGGATAATAATACACCTCTCCGTTATCATCATATTCAAAATCTTCTATTTCGACTTCATCATGATATACGCTCATTATAACATTTAATAGGCATTAAGTTGGAAAAAATTGTTATTGTACTTAAAACGTGGTGCAGACTATCATTCTTGTGTGTCATACGAGAGAGAAAAACGGTGTGTGACACACAAGAATGATAGTCTGCACCTTTGTATGACACACCACCAACATGTTGGAGTGCTCACCAAAAGTCTGTCACCCCAAATTTATCGTAAGCAGACGATATATATAGAATTGTAATATAAATTTAACACGCGTTTTTTTATTATTTTATTTTTAATGTATTTATTATTTTTATTATTTATTATTATTCAAATTACACTTATAAATTTGTGGTAAATATTTAATTAATTTTTAATTAAAGAAATGTAAATTTTTATACATAATTCTTATAAAAAATTAAAATACAATTAAATAAATAACACTAATTTATGTTTTTATTATAAAAAAACAATAAAATTAAATATATAAAATATATAAATTACATAAAATACAATTAAATATTTAACACTAATTTAAATTTTTATATAAAATAAAATTCTTATAAAAAATTAAAATACAATTAAATATTTAACACTAATTTATAAACGATGATTATAAGTAATTTTTTATTTAAAAAAACACCTAAATATAAACATCGTTATATTAACGATCTAAGCCCAGTAATAAAAAACAATTAATTAATAATGTTAATTTAAGATATAATACTTTATATTTTATATATGCTCTTCTTTGTTAAAGCTTGTTATTAAACTAAAAGAATTTTAAATGTTAATAACCTTTAACTAGCAAAAATATGGAAATTATTAAATGTCTTGAAAAACAATTAATATATGTGTAATATTTTATTATTTGTATTGTCTATTTATGGAAAATTTCTTAAGAAATTTCACAGGTAGTGAAATTAACTACGGTCCTTTACTGTCCTTCTCATTTTAACTAATATACTTAATGTCTTTTTTATTTCGTACTATTTAATAAAAGAAATATGAATTTTTAAATGATTTTTTAAGAATAATAAACCAATAAACCTAAAAAAGAAATGAATATGGATGCAGATAAAGCATTTTTAGACGATTTCATCGAATGTTAACAAAAGTAATCGCTGTTTGTGATGAAAGCATTTGCTTTATTTGTACGGTTTTATGGTTTTTTTTGGTATTTTATGCAGAAATTAAAAATATGTTTTTTTGTTTTGTTAACACATAAAATTTATTTTATGATTAAAAATGTATTATTATATAAGTTAATGATCATTTATTGTAATGATCATTATAACTATTGATCAATTGCATCAAAACAAATATTTCTTACGGGATGTTGTTTTGATACAATTGTATCAAAACAAGTTACCGTTGGTTATTTCTGCAAAACAATATTCCGTAATGGATATATTAGGGTTCCATTAATTTTCGAAAGTCGGAAAATTGCCCGCGGCACCCCACAGATCGGTTCGTTTTACTAAAAAAATAATCTGTGTGAAATTTTAGTTCAATTGGATAAGTGGAAATGGTGCCCCAAGAGCCTCAAAGAATGGAAAATAAAGATTTTTTCCATAAAATTCATCTTTGATTGCTTATATCTCCGACATATTTAATTTTACATAAAAACTGTCTTCCCAAAAATTATAGATCTATTTAAAATAAACAATTCACTAATACAAAGTTTTTCTGTATTTCTAATAGTTATTGAATAAAACTAAAAATAAGTTGAAGTCACCCGATTGCTAGCTTTGAAAGTACTATGAATGTAATTGTCCGCTTCAGCTTTACAAAAAATTTAATATTTGTAAAAAATTTAAAATAAATTCAATATTTCCAAAATTTTATCTTTCAAATAATAAAAAAGTACTAATTCTAGGTTTGTCCGACATAATTTTTATTATTTTAGTTAACGTTGCTGGAGCAAAGTATCCTTATTACCTTCAGTTATTTTTGCGCGATCTATTGATACTCTCCTGATTTCCTTGTCATCACTATCTATATTCAAATTTGAAACCATCTTTTTCTTTGTCTCAGGTGATATATTTAAATCCAAAAAGCAATTTGAACAAGCTTTGAACTTAAATAATAAATACAATTTTTTGATATTGACTGAGAATAGAAAGAAGATTAAAATCTTGAAAATGAACTTTGACTGATGACAAAGCATTAAACCATTCTTCAACATACACTTTAGTAATAAATATACATATACCGCAAAGAGCATTTTCTTCTTCTGTAGATAATTTGAACTCTTTCCTTAATAAAAATATTTTTAATACATGCATGGCTTTCGTCATCTATCTTGCATGATGTATAGCTCCAGGAGGTCAAAACTTTATTGTACAGTTCGGCTTTTCTCCTAAAAACATTAATGCAAGTTCCAGAAGTTCCCTATAATCATCTCTTGGTTGGTTATCCTTACGAATCTTATAAAGGAAACTTTTAGTTCGTAACACATCATCCTTATTTAACGATTTTCTTACTTTTTCATTTTCTAAGCCGACTGTAAAGTTATCAACGTTTATTTTAGGCCAAAACTTCTGAAATTGTTGAAATAGTTCAACATTTGGGCATTCAGACTAGTACACTTTTTAATGTAATCACTTTGAATTAAAATTCACTTCGCCCTCCAATGAATAATACAGAAACTCACTTATGTATATAACTATACAAGTATTGGACTTATTTTGTAGCAAATTTAGTAGACAGTTCATTTATTGAACTTACCTAAATTTAATAGGAGAATTTCAGTTTGTATTTGCTTTTATTCAATAACTATTAGAAATACAGAAAAACTTTGTATTAGTGAATTGTTTACTTTAAATAGATCTATAACTTTTGGGAAGACAGTTTTTATGTAAAATTAAATATGTCGGAGATATAAGCAATCAAAGATGAATTTTATGGAAAAAATCGTTATTTTTCAATCTTTGAAGCTCTTGGGGCACCATTTCCACTTATCCAATTGAACTAAAATTTTACACAGATTATTTTTTTAGTAAAATGAACCAATCTGGGGGGTGCCGTCAACCGATTTTACGAAAAAAAAATTGCCCATATACCTTAATGGCACCCTATGGATATATGTTAAAGAGTTAAAATTATTGTAAAATTAGTTTTTAGTTTAGTTTTTAATACGCTGCGTAAGCGACAACAATTAGTAAAAATACTATTAATAATAAGATTGTAAAAAATACTGTTTGAATGAATAAATAAATTAATATAAAAATTATTACAAAAATATTATTCAAAGAAATAAATTAATTGGCGCTCGAGCTAATAATATTAGTAACTACTGAAAAGTGCCACTAAATAAAAGTGCTACATAAGTAGATCAAAAATATTTGTTTTTGGAAACAAATTTTCTTACAACAATAAAATTTTTTTTTTGTTGAAATAAAAAACTACTCAAAAGTGCCACTAAATAAAAGTGCTACATAAGTAGATCAAAAATATTTGTTTTTTGAAACAAATTTTCTTAAAAGTGACAATAAAATTTTTTTTTTGTTGAAATAAAAAACTACTCAAAAGTGCCACTAAATAAAAGTGTTACATAAGTAGATCAAAAATACTTTTTGAAACAAATTTTCTTAAAAGTGACAATAAAATTTTTCTTTTGTTGAAATAAAAAACTACTCAAAAGTGCCACTAATTAAAAGTGCTTCAAGAAACCGGCCAAGAAACGACGCCCCTTAGTAGGTTTGAATAAACCAAAAAGGAGCTCCTGATTGGTGGAGCAGCAGCTTGGACCAGGGGAAATTAAGTATAAGTAGCAATATTATAGTTTCATAAATTTAATTCTTTGTATTTTGATTATCTTCTTCTATTTGTCGAAATTTTTTTTTTAATCGATCTTAACATTAAGTTTTTGTGATAAACTTTTCGAATTCTATATTAGTCCAAATGGCAAATCCAAGTAATATTATTAGACCTTCCATGTTGGGAAGTGATGACGTGCCAGTTTTTTTCCATACCGCAGATTTCACCATTAACTTCGACAGTACAATCAGATTTACTCAATAATATAAGAGAAATAGTTACACAGGTGATAGATAGAAATAGTAGCATAAACCAGACAATAATAACTGACCAAACTATAGATGACAAGTACAAAAATAATATAAGCGACATGGACAAAATTCCTGACGTTGTTCGCTCTTTGAGAGAATTTTCCGGTAACCCTGCAGAATATAGCTCATGGAAAAAAAGTGTAGAGAGAATATTAAATATTTATGACCAGTTCAAAGGTACACCCAAATACTTCGGAATTTTGAATGTAATTAGAAATAAAATCATAGGTCAAGCTGATATAGCTTTAGAATCCTATAACACGCCTTTAGATTGGAGTGCAATTGCACGTTGTCTTACAACTCATTACGCTGACAAACGCGACTTAGGAACATTAGAGTATCAAATGTCATGTCTGATACAAGGACGAGACTCTATCCAAGATTTTTATCAACGTGTTTATTCACATTTGTCATAAATTATGTTAACCTACATCCGAAACGCACAACTGGGCACCTTAAAATTTTTAACAACATGTGGTCACCTAACCTATGTTTGACAGCGAATGACACAATCGAGTGAAGTAAGAATAACGGAAGTTCGATGGGTAGCGTCGTGAATAAATATATTGTTTTAGTTAAATAAAGTAAAGTAATGTTATGTAAAAAGAAAGTCTATTAACGTTTTGTAGTTAACGCAAAAAACCAAATTTAAATTAAACCAAAGTTTAAAGTTCAGAAGTGGGATTGAATCAATGTCCAAAAGGGGAGTAATTAAAACGTAAGTTTGAATATTTGGCGAAGAAAATTAAAAAACAAACGAACGCAGATATATACGTAATGATGGTGACCATCGAGACACTGACGAAGGAACAGTTGAAGGACTTCTTACAACAGCAAGAGTTATCCACTACAGGCAATAAGGCAGAATTAGTTGCAAAATTAACTGAACACGTGAAGGCAAGCGGCGTAGTTTTACAATTTACGAACGATAATGAGGAATTGCGGGGTGAAAACGAAGAATTGAGAAAACAAATTAGCGAACTGAGCCAAATGGTGCAACAAGTGGCCATTAACCAGAATAACGGTA